ACCTTTGCCAGGGCCCAGAAGGGACCCGCCTCTTCTTGGGGCTTCTGGGACCCCCAAATGTGCTCGGCCCTCCCCGCCCCCTTCCGTTTAGCTGCATCTGAGCCCATTGTCAGCCTTTGAGACTTGGCCTACTTCTTTCTGAAGAGTTGTATTTATTGTTTTAGATAAAAATGCCCAGAACAGAAGCCTTACTCCCCAAAGGTGTGAATGTTCTGGAGGATGCGGGTCCCGTGCGAGCAGTTCCTCCCCCTGCTTCTTTCCCCCCCACTTGCGCCCTTAGGAACCCTTTCTTTTTTTTTTATTGAAAATTTTTAAAAGTTTTACAATATAACTCCCCTCCTCCCCAAAACCCACCCTCCCCCACCCCCTCCCTCCCCACCCACCCCCCGACTTCCCAGAGCCACACACAGGGTTAACAATACAATAATTATACTCTGTCTTAAATTATATCACCCTTAAGTTAACAATTCTATAACATCCTTTAGCTCTCTTCTGAACAAACATATTAAACATTATTATTACTAATTAAAAAAAAATAAACTACATTAACAATCTAAAATTTACTCAAAAACCAAATGAAACTTTTTAGTTCCGTATTTATTCTCAATATAATCTATCCATCTTCTCCACACCAAAATATATCTTTCTTGTGAATAATCCTTCACATAGGCTGAAATCTTAGCCATTTCTGCTAGATTTGAAACTTTAAATACCCAATCTTCTATAGTGGGCAAACATTCCATTTTCCAGCGTTGAGCTACTAGTAATCTTGCAGCAGTTATCAAATTCAGCACAGTCTTGAATGCGCCCTTAGGAAGGTCCTCGGCCTGCCCAGCCTTCACCTTCTCCCTTCACAGCCAAAGGAGGAGATTTTACTCTGTGCGCACAGAGGCATTTTTCTGCAAGGTGCCTTCTTACATACACACACACAGACACACACAGAGAGGGAGAGGGAGAGAGAGGGAGGGAGGGAGGGAGGGAGAAGCAGGGCCAAATGAGACAACTCTAGAAGTAAGAGAGTTCCCCCCTCTGCTTCCTGGTGTGAACAAGAAGTCATCATTTCCATTATGAAAACAGAAACCACCTTGAGAGGAGACAAATTATGCAGGCCCCACATGGAGTTTCCTCAACTCTTATTGTTGCACGTGGCCTTGGGTGTTTTTTATGTGCCGTAAGCAGAAAGGTGTATATGAACATGGTAATGCAAACTGAAAAGAAGATCATCTTCTAGGAACAGGCTGGATGTGTACTTTCATCAACTTCAATCCGGACAGATTTTCCTTTAATCCGGGTGTTCCTTTGATGACTTTGTTCGATGTCTTCCATGATTCTGGCTCAGGGCAATTTAGCTCTTGGCCCAGGCGGTGCCAAGGAAGGTGTAGTGTTATAAAAGTCAAAGTGTCCTTAGACCCAAACGGATAATCAGTTCAAATGTTTTCCATTTAACCTTTTACAGTTCTTTTGTCAGGACTCTTTAAGGGCCGACGTTTCAGGGAGATCTCTCTCTTGTTATTGGCAAACTTCCTTGGACTGGGCTGTTATTACTGTACTTTTATTGACCAGTGGAGATTTTTAGTGTTGATGAGATTGGCAAGACACACCAGGGCCTAAATCAGACATTCGCGCAAGGCAAACCCCTCACCTGGCCGGCAACTGGCAGCCACCGCGGTGAACCCTGAGGTCACAGGCAGCGTCTGAGGGGAAGAGCCCCCATGTCCGCCTGCAGCAGGAGGGAAGTCAGCAACACCTGCCAGGCCACGGCTGGGCCTGGGCGGTGGACAGGCAGGCAAACAACCTGCCAGGAGAAGCGAAGCGGTTCAGCCCCAGGGAGGGGCCCTGGAGCCGGTTCCTCCAGGAAATGCCTGCTCTGTGCAGGGCTCCCTCCCGCCTGGGGTGCGGCTGCTGACCCAGCTCAGGGTTCACCTTGCTTGGAAGGACTCCAGCCCTGGAGAGTCCTGGGGGTCGGATGGCCACTGCAGTCTGGGGTTCCTGCGAGTCAGGCCAGGGCACCTGAGAGCTTTGCCCCTGCCTTGCCGGTCATCCCCTGCTTGGGCTATTTCTAGCAGGCTCCAGCCCCCCTGCTTCGAGGAGGGGCAGCCTTTATAGACCCTCAGCACTGGGGAAGAAGAGGGGTGTCTGTCCTGTAGGTTGCCTTCCTTTCAGATAGTCTTTCTTTCTTTCTTTCTTTCTTTCTCTCTCTCTCTCTCTCTCTCTCTCTCTCTCTCTCTCTCTCTCTCTCTCTCTCTCTCTCTGTGTGTGTGTGTGTGTGTGTGAGAGAGAGAGAGAGAGAGAATGGGTGTGCTCCTGCCTGGGACCCTATAATGTGTTGGGAGGAGCAACTGCATAGGAGCCCCTGAGGGAGGCTGCTTCCTGCTGTGTCCTGGCCCTACCTCCTGCTGATGAAGCCAGCCAGCATCGACTCTGCTGGATCAGGCCTCCTCCCTCAGGATCTAGAAAGTCCAATCCATGAGTCCCTGGATGATCAGAGGATCGTATCTCCCCTGGCTGCTGCCTTCTTTTCAGGGAATTTCCTTCAGCTGCCAGTCCTTGAGTGCCCTGCCTGGCAGTGCACTTCACTTCGTTATGGCCCCTTGCATTTGCCCTTCCTGCCACAATTAAGTTGCAAAACCTTCAGGGCGTGCAATCTCTGCTGCCAAATGAGTTCTGGAGAGCTTTGCCCAGAGCAGAACGCCTGCCCGTGTTTCTGGCGGAGGCCTTTGGGAAAAGCAAGCGGATCCGGGCTTCGGGATGCCTTTGAGCAGCCAGGCTGGTCTCTGCCAGGGCTCGCCCTCCAGGACAGGCTCCTTTCCCACAGACGGTGCTGGTCTGGCTGGGGGAGCAACAGGGTGGGATCCCAATAACCCGGTTTTCTCAGCCGGATGCTTTCATGGTGGCTGGGAAGGATGGGAGTTGTAGTCCAGCATCTCCAATGGGTTCAATTGAGGAAGGCTGCAGCAGGGTAAGCAACAAGCAGCTTCACCCATTTTGCATTGCTGCTTCATCAAAGAGATGGGGAAGGTTTTGTTCTCCCTAATTAGCATGTGCATTGGAGGGGGGGGGCTACTCGGGTTTTCAGCACACCCTCCCCGATTGCTAGAAGTGAAATCTTGAAAGAGGAGGGCCCTTCTGAGGCCACAGAATAACTTCAGACATAACTTCTGAGTCACCCAGACCGGTTCAGGAGCGTGCAGCAGATTCTCTTATAAAGATAAAAAAAATATTTGAACGGTATGTGTGTGTGTGTGTGTGTGTGCGTGTATTCATTTCACAAATGCCTTCCCCATGGCTAACTGAACCTCAGTTTACTCAACCCCATTTCCCGAGGGAGGAGAATAGTGCAATTCAGGAACCACAGAGTGACCACATCCACTGGATTTGCACCCCCTTAGCTAAAATGTGGTTAGCCGCTTGCACTTGCACAATCTCAGCCCCAGTGTGGTGGGTGGGGAAGAGCTTGCCTTGCTGGGCAAAGGGTCTTGGGAGGCCCCTGCAAGGCCAAGGGGTACCTCGGTTTGCCTCCGGGGAATTCTTCCTCTCTCCTGGGAAACTAACCCTGCTTCTCACGGTACTCTCACAGCTCCCTCTTTCACTGTCCGAAACCGCACATTCCCTTGGCTCAGTTGTTTTCTGGATTTGACCACGATGCTGCAGAAGGTACAAATCACAGCTAGCCAAATTGTGAGGAATGGGATGGTTTGGCAGCTTCAACTATCAAGACGGCTGTCTGAAGTCAACCACTGTGATTGACTAAAAAAAAACCCAAACCCAAATCCACGATTAAAACAAGCCTGGCTTAACGCAATGGATGTGCATGTAGTGATAGAGAAATGCACCCAGCGTCTTAAACAGCGTTGTCTTCTTCTTCCTCCCAGTGGTTCTGATTGGAGAATCTGGAGTGGGAAAAACCAATCTGCTCTCACGCTTCACTCGCAATGAGTTCAACCACGACAGCCGCACCACGATTGGGGTGGAGTTCTCCACACGCACCATCCTGGTGGGAGACGCCCTGGTGAAGGCCCAGATCTGGGACACGGCCGGGCTGGAGCGCTACCGGGCCATCACATCGGCGTAAGTAGAGGCAAAGGGTGGGTGGCCGAGGAGGGCAGTGGGCTGAGAGCCGGGAAGGTCTCCACCTGGTCAAATGTCTCCTTCCTTCCACTTTTCTCAGTGTAACAGGTTTTGACTTATTATTGGTGCTTTGAGTGACCTGATCAGGTGTTTACAGGTGATTCCCACAGAACCTGTTGGGTATATTAATGAGTCATAGGAGGATCAGCCTGGATGTGGATACAGGCAGGGTTGGATCAGGGCATATCTAGACGTGTCTTAACTTAGAGGAACATCTTGTAGGTGTGAAGGAGAAACTGTGTCTGTCATACAGGATGACGGGAGTCGCCCATTTTCTAGGTTCAATGTAAAGTGAAGCAGCTGGGTTTACACCATCTGACACGAAACTTTCATAAACCGGTTTGATGGATGACATCCATGTAACCCTTGGGCCTTTTGCTAAACTGGTTAAGCATACTGTGCACACTCAGTCCATGTATTGCAATAAAGATAGCACAGATGTGGGGTCCTTGGTGTTCTCTGAGCTTGATTGTTTTCTTGCAGACATTTCATTACCCAACTAGGTAACATCACCAGTGCTAGAAGGTAGTAGGGTTTGCAGAGTGGTGGTGGAGGAGGAGGACAACTGTAGGGACCTTGGTGTTCTCTGAGGTTGCTTCTTTTCTCGCAAATGTTTCCTTACCCAACTGGGTAACATCGCCAGTGTTATCTAGCATTGATGATGTTACTCAGTTGGGTAATGAAACGGCTCCAAGAAAACAGCCAAGCTCAGAGAGCACCAAGGACCCCTCAGTTCAATCCTGAGCTGCAAATATTCTCCTTTGGTGATAGCAAAGATGTCTCTGTGCCAGTTCAAAGATGTCTCTGTGTTCTCTTCCTCTGTGCCTTACCTGAATGGGAAAAGCCTGGTAGGCAGCTGCTTCAGTTTCTGTGAGGCATTTGTGGCACCAGAAACGCTCAGAGATCATGGCCGTGCTCAGTGCTGTCATGCAAATCCTTGGCTATCTTGTTGACAGCACTGACCCAGCGGTACCAGCTGTCCTCCACACTGGAGCAGAGGCTCTCAGCTGAAACCTTTGGTCTCTCTGAGAAAAGCCATCTCCTGGCCAGAAAAGGGCCACCAGCCCTCCATCCATCCGACCGCCTTGGCTAACACATCGCCCTCGGGGCCTGATCTGGGGAGCGGTCAGTGGCTGGAGAGGCCAAGCAGAGTTAGAAGCTCTGGGGAGAAGCAGAAACTCTGAGTGATGAGCCCCACCAGGGATGACCTTCCCGGCGGAGACGTTGCAATGATGGCAGAGTTCTCCCTCTTCTCATCTTGTTCTCTGTCCTCACTTTTCTCCCCGCATTCTTTGCCACAGATACTATCGTGGGGCGGTGGGAGCCCTCTTGGTGTTCGACATCACCAAGCACCAAACCTACGACGTGGTGGAGCGCTGGCTGAAGGAGCTGTATGACCACGCAGAGGCGACCATCGTTGTGATGCTGGTGGGCAACAAGACGGACCTGGCCCAAGCCCGAGAGGTGCCCACGGACGAGGCCAAGATGTATGCTGGTAGGAAGGGGTGGCTGCAGCTTCCCCAGAGCGGTGGGACTTGAGTGGCTGTGAGTGCAGCGCTGAGTGGCCCACGGCTTTGACTCTGGATGAAAAACCAGACGGGCTGCTCCAGGCCTTGTGGATGCTTTGGATGACAATCCCCAGCAGTCCCAGCAGTTCACGTTGATGGATCTGAAGCCCAAAATGGTTTGGAAGTAATTAGTGGGCTTGGTCTTCAGCTACAAGCTGCAAGGAGAAGGAAGTGGCGTGCCCAGCAAATTATTCACCCTGATTTAATGATCTTAATAAAACACATTAAAATGGGCATTAGAAGAAAAACAGATCCAAAGAAAAAAGCATACAAGTCCTTTTTTAAAAATGAGATGTGGGCACTGCTGTCATTATCCTTGAAGTCGACATTTCTTCTCTGAAGAAGGAGCCGGCACTCTCGCAGTGTCTTCCTGCAAATAGGAACAAATTTCATTTCGGTGGCTTTCTCACACCTTCATTCAGTTAAACTCCATTGCTTCTTTGGCCATTGAGGGGATTTTTCTGTCTTCCTTGCCGCAGAAAACAACGGGCTGCTCTTTGTGGAGACGTCTGCCTTGGACTCCACCAACGTGGAACTGGCTTTCGAGACCATTTTGAGAGGTAGGTGGGGGTGACCTGGGGCAGAGGCGCCTCAGGAGGAGCAGATGCTCCGTGGCTGCCAGCCGAGACTTAGGCTTTCCACTACGCACGGAAGTCTTTAACACCTTATTTACTTGGCATCAGAAAGAAGAACATGGAGCTTGATAGACTTCTACCTGATTATCCAGCAAGAAGTAGAAGACACTGTTACTGCAATCGTCTTTGGGGGGCTTCTTTAGGGAATCTTTCCTAAATTCGCCAGGAACTCACTTTGAAAATTCAAGATGTTACCTAGTTTTGAGTTTGGTCCATAGTAGACTTCTGTTCTCAGCTGCCTCGGCTGAAACAAATGAGTTCTGCTATTTAACAGAACTTGATGGCATCTGGATTTCTTCTGGATCAGAGACAAATTGGCAAAGATGGCCCAGAGTTTTAACTGGAGAGCTGCTTCCTGCCCTCAGAATGCCGGGCAAGGCTCTTCAAGGGGGTGGGATATTTATTTATTTATTATATGCCCCTCTAGTCAGATGCATCTTGGAGAAGCGTTCACTCGATAATCCAGGAAACAGATTAGATACACCACTCAGGCTAAACCGGGGTGGCGAACTGTGGTCCCTTTAAGACCTGTGGGCTTCAAGAATTCTTAAGGCAGCATGGCTGGCTCAGGAATTCTGGGAGTTGAAGTCCACACTTCATAAAAGGGCCATAGTTCCCCATCCCTGGGCTAAGCCATCAGCATGTAGCAAACTAAATAGAAAACAGAGCAGTGACCACAAACCCGCTTGTTCTTTACCTGATTGTCCCTCCCGTCCCCAAAGGCCCTTCTGAAGGGTCAGAGGTTACTGATCCTCTGAACCCGTTTCTCAGCCTTGGCAACTTTAAGCTGTGTGGACGTCAACTCCCACATATTTATATTATTGTATTATTATATACATATGTTATGTTGTTATGTCACGTTTTGTGTTTTATGTTACGTTAAGTTATTGGAGGGCAAATTGATGGTGTCTCTTCACTGCAGACGTAAAAGATAGAAAACCCACTTTCTTTTCATTTCCTATTCCTAGACATTTTCAATAAAGTGCAGAAGCAGAAGCAGAAGAGCCCTCTAGACAACAAAATTTCTCTCTCTACCGAAAATCCCAACGCGGCATCCTCCTCGGCGGCGGCTGAGCAGAAGAAGGCCTGCTGCATGAACCTCTGAGGGGGCTGGTGAGTGGGAGTCATCAGCCAGGGTCATGCACTGCATTGAGCCAAGAGGACATTTTAATCCTGGGTTACCCAACGAGCTAGTGCCTGGGTTCACATTAAGCCAAAATTAAGCCATGATAGGCTAAAAGCAACTTAGCCATAGATGGGCTTTGGAATTTCTTGACCTGGTTTGCCTACCTCAACTTCGGGAATTTGGTCTTGTGTTGGAGCAACATAGGAAATTGTTCCAAAGCTGGATCTAGAGTGGATCCAGATTGACCCACGCATAGAACGGACTCACTGAAACCAATGTCATGGTTCCGACAGATGAAACTCTTCAAAAGAACTTTGAGGCATTGTTTACCTTAAAGAATCTTTTATTCAAGAAACAAAGTATCAGTACTACATAGTTAAAGCCAAAAACTGAATTCCCCTCTCCTGGATACAAAGTAACAAAGTACAATTCCCTCCTCCAACTAACAGTCATAAATCACATTCCCCAATTAGCTTAAAGCGCAGGCTTTCTCCCCAGCTCTCCAGCCCGCCAAAACACTACCAGCTCTGGGCCCAATGTCCTTGGGTTCCCACAGCTAAATTATTATTGTTATGACTAGTTGGACTCTCATCCCATTTCCCCCTCCCAGCATCAACTAATTCTAAAAGCAATAGAGAAAATGTCTGCCTTTCCATCTGTTGTCAAAGCAAGAACATCCCATGTTAGCAACGTTGGCAGCCAACAGGTCAGTTCTAAGTCCAGATGTCTGGCTGTACCTGTGAAACAAACACTTTCCTCCCTCCCTCCCACTGATACTTCCCGATCTTGCCTTCCAACCCCTGATGCTAACCATGGCTGCCCCGGAGGACCCAACGGTTTGAGCAGCCTTGCCAGGGGCGAGTGCCTTTTGCTCCCTGGCAGCTCCCTGGCACCTCCTAGAAGAGGAGGTGATGGGGAGGGGCTTCCTATCTGGTCTTAGCCATGGTTCCTCAAAGAGGAACCATGGCTGAACCTCTATTGGTCTTTCTGGTGGTGCCTATCTGAACCTCTATTGGTCTTTCTGGTGGTGCTTAAAAGGGTTTTCTGACCTGGGTTGGTGCGCGGGTTGTTCTCCAGCTGCCCTGCAAAGCTTGACTCCATTGTAGGCAAGACACACACACACATACACACCCCTGCTCGCTTGGCTACTCCATGCTGGAGCAGGAACACTCCTCTCCTCTGGTCCTCAGCTCTTCACAGCCATTTCCTTCTCATCAGTGAAAGTGAAATTAGAGGGCTTTTTACAAAAAACTGGATGAAATTGGAAACGTTCTGCCATTTCTGGCAGGAAGATGATTAAAAATCAGTCTCCTCACCTGATCCAGGAGTAAAAATGCACGGGAATCTACCTTGGGAAGGTGGTCCAGGCAGAACACCAGCCCAACACCTTGGCCACCCTAGAGAAAGGGTTGAAATCCAGAAAGGGTTGCTGTGCAAGGAGATTCCATGGCTCAAGGTATATGTTGAATCTGCTAATCCAAATGAAAGATAAAGATTTTATTCCTCCAAGGACCTGACGATTGGTGACCTGGAAGTAGAATCTGTAACTCTGAGCAAATGGTGGGCATGTATGAAACTGGACTCCTAGGAAGGGGTGAGGGCTGGTGAATGAGACCCTTCTGAGGAACTGGCAAAAGAGACCTTGACCAAGACACACACAAACCATGGTCATATTTACACACGACACCAAGTTACTGTCCATGGTTGCAATCTACAGTAACTGAGTTCAAAGGAAATGCTAAACAATGTTTTGCTACCCGCTTTGAGTCACGTAGATCAGATGGGCGGCCATTTCAATTTAGGCAATGAATACAAAGAGGTCAACACAGGCAGGTGATGTTCTAGCTAAGGGCAGCGTGTGGGCCCAGCCGCTGGGTCAAGGAAATATGAGTTGTGGCTTACTGTACAGCACACCTGCACCAAATTGTGGTTGGTTTTCACCACAATCGGTTGAGAGAATGGTGCCTTATGATGCATGTATGTAGAAGTGGGATATTGGTGATCCTTCAGTTGCGGGCAGGGAGAACAGAGGATGCTGGTTCCTCATGCCACCTTTTTGATGTGGAGCGATGTCTTCCCTTGGGAATAATCGGCTCAGTGGGGCCAGGCTGGATGGACCACGAGAAGACCAACACATCCTTGGCGACCTCCCTTTAGTCTCTTCCCTTTCTTCCTTGTTTAGGGGCTGCAGCTAGACCAATCGCCCCTGTCAGAAGCCTAAATTGCTTGCTTGCTTGCTTGCAGAGAAATGAAGCTGAAAGTCGCAGGTAGCCCTCCCCTCGTAGACATTTCCAGGTGGTAACTTGGGAACCAGGTTGGGCTCGGCAGGCGCTTCTCATGCCCTCCTCCGGTGCCTTTGGCGTCAGGCAGAGAGTTCTTACTTGCAGTGATTCCTTTTGCCTGCGAGCATCACTTGATTCTTTTCCAAATCTTCCACCCACAAGACATGTGACTTTGTGGGATGGGAGTCTCTTGTACTGTGTGTGTACATTTATAAATGTGTATATATTAACATATTTGTAAATAAATTGTTCTGGATGATGGAGTGCATATGTTTATCACATGGCTTAATATGATGGTCCTCTTAAGGGAAAACAATCGCATGTCTTGCAAAGTGAAGGGAACTGGGAGGGGCGTGCGAGGCATCCTGGATCCCCCTCAACAAGATGAGAAGAAATGGGGTTCTTCCAGACAGGCCACCAGATCCAGAAGACCTCCATCCCTGAGGACCAGGCAGGTTTAAAGGGGGAGTGCCCAGTGCAGGACAGGTGGAAGAGGCTGTAGGACCTCAGAGCAGCATAATTCCCTCTCCAACTTCTCCCCACCACCAAAATTCAGACTTGATAACCCCAGTGGAGAGAGAAGCCCACGTCTCAAATTTCTCAGCCCCTCAGTCAGCAATGCCTGTTTTGACTGCCAATTTCTCCTCCTGTCCCGTCAGCTGAAGGTCAATGCCATAATGCTCTGCTCCTTTGACTTTTCCGCTGGGGATCGCTGTCTCCATGCTCTGGCTGCCTCTCTGCACCAAATTGGGCTCCTTCCTGAGGACAAACGTGCCACGATCACTGCAGGTTACCACCAGGAGTCGGCACAGATATGTCCAGAAGATTGTCACTTTGCAGCAAACAAATTTAACCAGTAAAATAAAAATAAAAAATAAAACCTAGAGCATGGAATAATAATAAGAAATCTTGCTGATCAACTGCCCTCAAAGAACCTCCTTATTACATGGTGGGAAGGCTGTGAATGCTTTTGACAAAGTGTCCCATGACAGTGTGATGAGCAGGCTACTTAAGTATGGGCTGCCGGATGCGTCTCCTGGGTATCAAATTAACCTTGTGTGGTATCTTAGAACTGGTTTAGTTGGTATAAGTTTACATTTGGCAGGCAACCGGTTCTTAAGGACTCTGTTTTCAGGTGTGCATCATGCAAGAGGCCAGGAGATCAGGGCTCACCCAGCACCCCTAAAATCACTCAAAGGAAAATCCAGGTCACTCAGGCAGGCATTTTCCCAGCAATGAAAAGAACATTAAACTGTCGAGTGCTGATTTTTAGTCTGGTTCAGACCTTGAAAGGATTGGCTAACCGGGAATCCATCCTCTCCCAGCAAGATCCATGGATTGCCATTAATGTAGCCAGGCCGAGCTCTGCCCTAAGAAGAAGGGTGAATATCAATTGCTGTTTAAAAAAAAGCGGATTTGGTGTAATTATCAGAGCTAGGGAAAAATTACCAAAATGGTTTTTCCAGCCCCAAACAGCTGTGCTTCCTCAATTCAGATTTAAGCACAGATTAGATACATCGCGAGAGGATCAAAGTCACACATACTGTAACAGGTCTCTTCCGGCTGAGCACCACAGAATGTAGTGTAGGTAGCCCTCAGCTTATGTCACCAATTGGGACCAGGATTGCCATAGCAAAAGAAGGTGAGTCACTCCTGATTTTATGACCTTTTTTGGCCACAGTTGTGAAGTGAGTCACAGGGTCATTAAATGAATCCAGCTTCCTCATTGATTTTGCTTGTTGGAAGCTGGCTGGGGGGAGGGGCGGGGGAGTTTCAGGCGGTGATCTCATGACCCTGGGAAACGACAACTGTTGTCAATACATGCCTGTTGCCAAGCGGCTGAACTTTTGAGTGGCCATGGGGATGCTGCCTCCGTCATAAGTGCAAGGACAGCTCGTAAATCCCTGTTACAATGTTGCTGCATCTCCAAGCACCGCCAAGCAAAGGGTTGTTGAGGACTACCTGTTCTTCCACCTTTACCTGTGGATCTGGAAACACGCAAAGGGCAACGCTTTGCTGTCAGTAAACCTCAGCCAGGACTTTCCCAAGAACAGCTGGTGGGCAGGTAGGCAGGCAGGCAGGCAGGGAGAGCCCAGACGGGCGGATGGGGGAGGCTTCAGACCTCTGAGTAAGTTTCTCTCTGCAGCCTCCCCTCCTCCTACCTGCCCAGGTGAGCAGCCCAATAACCCGCCTGCCGTCAGTAAAGCTGCGGGGCGAGGCCGGGCCAATCAGCGCCACGGGGGAGGCGCCAGCCCAGCCGGGAAAGCCCGACTCCAACCGCCCAGCCGAAGCCGGCCAGACGCGGGAATTCGCCGGGCGGGGAGATCTGTGCCAGCGCTTCCGGGCGAGGAGAGACGCGCAGGTGTGGCTGACCTGCTCCGTCGGGAGGCAGCGCAGAAGTCCGGGGCGATGCGGGGCAAGGACGACGAGTACGACTACCTGTTCAAGAGTGAGTGAGAGCCGGCACACTCGCCCCACCCCCCACCCACCCCCGCCTGGAAACGCTGCTCCTTTCTCATTTCCCGGTTCCGAGGCCGTAAGAGGCCTGGAAGCGATTCCCCGGTTTCGCCGGGGCAGTTCCGCAGAGCCGGTGAACTTTCGTGGGAATCCCGCTTCCTTTTCCTTCCCGCTTCCCACTCCGGATTGATCCAGCCCTCGAAGCGGCACCGCTCCCGCGGAGGAGCCTTCGCGGGGACTCACCTGACTGCTCCAGGTGGGCTGGGAGGAGACCCCCCCTCCCCAAATTCCGAGCCCGACCTAGGGGCGTCCAACCTTGGGAACGTGACCTGTGGACTTCAATTCCCAGAATTCCTCAGCCAGCTGGGGAATCAACTTTCAGCTTTCACTCAATTCTGAGTGGAAAGGAGGAAGGAAAACAACTAGAATTAAGCTTTTCTAGCTGGGGAATTCTGGGAATCCACAGGTCTTCAAGTTCCCAGGTTGGACACACACACACACATCCCGAGTTAGATGTTGCTTTCACACATCCAGCTATCCTGAGGTTTAAAGGCCTTTGGTACCCATTTGTCTGTTTATATCAGTGTTTCTCCAGCTTGGCAACTGTAAGATAGGCGGGTTTCAACTCCTAGAATTCCCCAGCCAGGCCTTTGGTCTTGGGGACTGAGCTCGGTGTTGCCCAAACAGAGTTTTCCAGCCGGTGAGTCAGGCTGGGACTCGGGGCGGCTCCAGGTGTGGGACGGGCCACGTGCCACACACCTCACCTGCCGGTTTGTCAGAGGCCAGAATGAGGGACCTGCCAGTGGCTCAGGAGCCCAGGGATTTTGGGGAGGAGATCCCCTTTTGTAGGTCTCTGGGAAGAGCAGGGTGTGCATCAATTATGCACGTCTTACATGCACAAAAATGGAAAGACACACTTGTTCACAGAACGGAAGAGTGGATTGTAAAAGTGGTTTTAATTAAAGAGAAGAATTTATCTAGTTTTTTTCTCCTTGGAAAACGCTTCTGGATTTGTGCTAGAAACTGAAAAAAATGATTTGATTTTAGTTTCTAGAATAATCTTGGTGTTAATAGAAACAGCTTGAAATGTTGTGAAGTGGGAAACAAAAGGTTAAGATGGGGTTTTTCTTATATTTTACTGCACTGAAAAAAGTTGGAAAAGTCCGCATTTTTATTTTATAATGAAACATAAAATAATAAAAGGAAGAGCAGAATCTCCTCTCTACATAAAGAGGCTTGGAATTGCTTTGTGAAGCTGCCTTTACTGTTCTGTCTCCGCCTTCAGATGGGGCAACATTCAGAACGAGTCTGCTAGCATCCTTTAAGCCTAGTACATTTTATTATAAAGCTGGTGAGAGCTGCAACTTTTTCTTTGGATAAATGGTGTGGCATAACTGGTGTAGGATGATGGGGAGGCAGGGTCTTCAAGAGCCAAGGTTGCCTACCCCTGGTCTAGATCAAGGGTAGGCAACCCTGGCTCCTTTATGACTTGTGGACTTCAACACCCAGAATTCCTGAACCAGCCATGCTGACTCAGGAATTCTGGGAGTCATAAAAATTCTGGGAGTCATAAAATTCTGAGAGTCATAAAAGAGCCAAGGTTGCCTATCCCTGATCTAGAGAGAACTTTTGCATCATATAACAATAATAAGGTGTTAAAAACCCAGGGTTGTTTATTGATATTTTCTGAAACAGCCTGAAACTTATTGATGAATATAAACCCAGCTGCCCTCTCTTCTGTTGGGCTGGTGAATTATTTTATTCTAAAGTGGCCATTTTGAGATCAATAAATCTGTCTGTCTGTCTGTCTGTCTGTCTGTCTGTCTATCTATCTATCTATCTATCTATCTATCTATCTATCTATCTATCTATCTATCTTCTATGTATCTAGCCTTTCTCTAGCATCCATCCATCAATCATATGTAGAAACTTCCATCTCCCTCACCATATTCGGGGAGGTTCAGGTTTTGATGTCAAATTGCTTGGCGCAAAGCCTGGCCTATTCTTTGGCTCAAAACAATTCAGAAATGTGGATGAGATAAACTTCCTTACGAAAACAAAAACCAAGCACGAGACATCATTTTTCAGAGGGGTCTCCTGAGGTATTTTAATTAATCACAGAGTCACTTGCCTCTTTGCAGTCGTCCTCATCGGGGACTCCGGTGTTGGGAAGAGCAACCTGCTTTCGCGCTTCACCCGGAATGAGTTCAGCCTGGAGAGCAAAAGCACCATTGGGGTGGAGTTTGCCACGCGCAGCATCCAGGTGGATAACAAGACCGTGAAGGCCCAGATCTGGGACACAGCTGGGCAGGAGCGCTACCGGGCCATCACTTCCGCGTAAGAGAATTGGTTGCTGCCTCTGGGCGCCCAAGAGGGAAGGGGAGAGGGCGGCTTGGCTAGGCAGGGCCTTCTTTTCTAATGGAAAAGTTAAAGGTGGATCTCGCCCTCTAATCCGGTTCCTTGATCTGTATTAGCTTGCGAAGGCTCCCTGGAGCTCATTCAGTGCTTCTGCTTCGGAGCTGAGGCAAACGTAACAAATCCATCTAGGGTAGTATTTCCCAACCTTGGCAACTTTAAGCCAGGTGGACCTCAACTCCCAGAATTCCCCAGCCAGCCATGCTAGAAACTGGAAGTTTTCTGCAAAAACATCATGAATTGTGATCACCTGACCATGGAGATGCTGGAAATGGCACTTAAATCAAATATAATTTTCTCGGCTTGGCATGATGGTCCTGCGAGGTTTGTTCTGGCAATGGCCCCGATTTCTGGGCAAAGCCTGGCAGCCCCCTGTAAATGGGAGGACCGGAGGCCATGTTGGGATCGGTGCCCCCCCCCCCCGTTGGTGGTGAAGGGAGACGTTGCTGTCGGTCTGGTTCTGCTGCCAAGTGACTCTACCCCTCCTCACCTCCCCCGCCCCCTGCAGCTACTACCGAGGGGCCGTCGGTGCCCTTCTGGTTTATGACATCGCCAAGTACTTGACCTATGAAAACGCAGCGTGCTGGCTGAAGGAGCTGCAGGACCACGCGGACGCCAACATCGTCATTATGCTTGTGGGCAACAAGAGCGACCTGCGACACCTGCGGGCCGTGCCCACTGACGAGGCCAAGAGCTTTGCAGGTAAGGGTCCCGGCCCAGGGAGGAGGAGGCTTCGGAGCCTCTCCTTCCCTCAGGGAGATTCTGGCCAGCTCAAGAGCCCTTCATCCGTTCCACTTCGCCACAGGAAGTGACTTCAGCACGTGACTCATTCATGCTGCTGAATGCGCTCATTAGCTAAGCCCTTGGCACCACTGCTGCATCCTTGGGTGGAGGAGGAGAGCCTCAGAGCGTTGCTGTTGGTCCACGTGGGTGAGCTCCCTGTCGGTTCTTCCAAGGTTTTTGGCCAGGCGTTTCCTGGGCCTGGAGCAAGGGGGGCGCCCTGCAGCCCTCGGTGTGTTCACAGAGCCCCTTCCTTGAGGGTTGTGCACAGAAGGAGCAGTGTGTTTAAGTCTGGCCGCCTTTTCCGCTGGCCGTTGGAAGCGTGCGGGAAACCCAGAGGGGTTAAGATGTCACTGATTTTTTTCATTCATTTTTAAATTAGGGCGAGGGGCAAAATTAATTCACTTAAAAACCCTTATTTGGACACTTAATTTCCAGCAACATGATTCAGGGAGCTAAACATGTGTATTTTTTAATTAGAAAAAGACACCTAAGATTCCTGGATCCTCATTCTGAACTTTGTCAGTGTCTTCTGGACACACAACCCTCACTATCTTTAAAAATGATGGACTATTCTAGGACATTCAGCCTAACATTTATTTATTTATGAATTTGTAAGCGACAGCTAAAAAGAGATTTTCCCAAAGGGGCTGACAAACATTTTAAAACCAGAAGATAAACGGTATACATTAAAGCATAAAATGGATCTGAAAAGCATAAAAAAAGTATTTAACTGAAAGGGAGGCAATCCGCTTCGGGGGATCTGGGGAGAGATGGTCATCAGGTGCCACCTGCCGATGCTCTGAGGTTGGTGCCTGAACCTGGTGTCACTCAAGGAGGGCCCCATCTCCGGACAGGTGGGAGATGGGATGAGATTGTTTTGAGCCTCAGCACTTCTGGTGGTGATGAGGCAGCTGAGGTCTGAGGAGCACATGAGGGCTGGATGGAGCTTCTCACAGAGAGTATGTGTGGACCATCACCATCACTGACTGATGATACCTTTTTCTGTGTCTTCACCTGCCATAGAAAAGAACGGCTTGTCTTTCATTGAGACATCAGCTCTAGATTCCACCAACGTGGAGGCAGCCTTTCACAACATCCTGGCAGGTATGTATGGTTTCCCTTCGTACCTACCCGGGTGGACGCAGGTTATGCTCTGCTTTGGGAGTGGCAAAAGGCAGGCAGACCCAGCCCTGGCTGACAGGGCCTACAACGCACCTTGGATGTCATGAGCACCAAGAAAGGTTAACCGAAGGTTCCCTGCAGGTCAACACCTGGCTGTGGAGGCAGGCTCCAAAACAAACCTCCTTCCTCCTCCTACGAATGCCTGGGCAGACATAAAGGCTTCACTTTAAAGCATGCCGGCTGGGGGGAACTCTGGGCGTTGAGGTCCACCCATCCTAAAGCTCCTGAGGTCAGGAAACGCTGCTTTAGAGGAAGTTGTGCCTAAGAGCAGGAAAAGAATAGCTTTGGGAGTGCTTGGCCAACCTTTGACCCAGGGTGCATTCACCCAGCAGGTGCAAACAGGTCACCTGGAGCTGGGCTTACTCTAACTTTGTACAGGTTGGTTTGTATTTTTGTCCTTTGTGTGTTCCACGACTACATTTCATGAGGCTATTTTTGTGCTTCAAAATGTCGTGCAAGACCAGAAGGTGTCCCTGGGCAACCAGCCTCTCCTCCTGCTGTGCAGGTGGGTCTCATAACCTCTGCAGGCTTCAGGAGAGGTGGCCTCTTCCCTAACTCTGCAGTACTCAGACTCTCCCTTTGGGAAGGCCACCGCAATACGTGGGAAGTTTTATAGCCCAGCAGATGCAGAAGTCAATCTGAACCCCACCCTTGGATGGGTGCCAGATGAAAGCTTTTGGAAATGCCCATGTTCTGACTGAAATGAGAAGAAATCACTTCGGCATGACATCCGTGTTTAACAACTCCCTTTGCAGTGAGAAGATGAGAGGATGCAGGGCCGTTGGAGAAGCTAATTATAACGATGCAGCACTTAATATACTTCAGAAGGGAAATCAGTGATGTGCAGGTCGATCTCCTGGGATCTCTGGACCTGAGTTATTTTTTTAGCCTTGATTGTCTTCTCCTCCCATGACTGCTTCTGCTCCAGACTGAGGTGGACGTCCAACTCCACATGGCCTCCTCTCTCTTTTCTTCTCCTCCAGAAATCTACCGGATTGTATCCCAGCGACAGCTTGCAGGAGGGCAACCTGAGACAGAGTTCAGCCACGGGACCACCATTGAGCCCATCAAAGTCTTGCCCACCCAACAGGGAGCGAGAGAGACCCCTTGTTGCCAGAACATCTAACCTCTGGTGGGTTAGAAAGTGAGGTGGCCACCCAGAAACCACCAGGTCTTTCCCTGGTGAAGGAGAGGGCCCCCCTCCGCCAGGTGCCCGGTCTACTTGCTCTCCATCCTGCACACCCATTTCTCCACAGGGCTTGAAGCTACCCCTTGGTTCCAGCTGAGACCCCCGGAGGCTGCCCAGTCCTGGATTCTCTTTAGAAGCTGGTCTTCAGTCTCCTAGGAAGCCACTGGCAGAGTTTGGGGTGGGGGGGAGGAAGCATGAAGGGGGCTGCTGAACAGTCTCTTGAGGTTCTTGTAGAATTCCCAACTCTTTGCCCCTCCGGTTGGCAGGCAGCAGCTCCCCTGGTCTTGAGACAACTTGAGGGAGAGCCACGGACACGTTGGTCCTTGAGAGTTCACACTCCTGAGTGGCCACCAGCAGACCAAGGGGTCTCTGCTCTTATGGCTTCTGCCAAGGATATTTTGGGGGACGGGATGCATCTTTAAAACAGGCCACTTTCCCCACATGATCCCAAGTCCTTTGGATGACTTTAAAAGTCCCTGGGGCTGCCAGGGAGTCTTGTGACTGATTCCCAGGGCAAACCTTGCAGGTGGGTTTAGCTACCAGCACCCACCAAGGAAGAACCTGTCCTGCAGGTCTGCCTCAACTGGACACTCCCCTGAGTCTGTAAGAAGTGAGGTTACCTTGGTGATTGTGTGTGTGCCTCTTGTAAAAATGCAATTTGACTTCTAACTGCTGGTATTTAAGGTTGAGGAAGACTCTCTTGGCCATAGGACTCTCCCAGGAAATCAGGTCCTCGTTGCCAGTTGCTGACAATGAGTCTGCAACAATCAGACATTCCCAACAATCTACCTCTCCTCCCTCCTTTCCCCTCTGCTAGAATTGGGTTCTTCTTATCTTTGTGTCTTACTAATATTCTCTGAGGCAGTTCTGGAATGTTCTGCAAAATGTTACATTAAAGCATCCCTTTTCAAACCCCTCCCTAGAGCTCAACTGTCCAGTTCATTTCCAGCCAATGTCATGGTTCCGACAGATGAAACTCTTCAAAGAACTTCGAGACATTGTTTACCTTAAAGGATCTTTATTCGAGTAGCAACACATCGGCACGTTCATAGTCCAAGCCAAAATCTGACTCCCCTCCCCTAAGCACATAGTATCACAATTCCCTCCTCTAACTAACAGTCATAAATCACATTCTCCAATTAGTTTGAAATGCTGGCTTCCCCACCAGTTCTTCAGCCCGCCATGTCTTATCTCTTATTCCAAACAACCTTGAATCACACACTACTACGATCTTGTTATGCCTTTTTCGCCGAGCCCTGAAGGCCCATCTATTCCGTGCGGCCGGCCTGGCGTAGTTTGGATTGTGTTTCAGTGGGGGGGGTTTGTATGGGTGGGTTTTTAGAACAGGCCTATTATTCAATTCGATTTTAAAACAGAAACTATTTATTTATTCATGGTTTTTAGTATTGCCTGTTCACCGCCCTGAGTCCCGCAAGGGAGATAGGGCGGTATATAAATTTAATAAATAATAATAATAAATAATAATAATAATAATAATAATAATAATAATAATAATAATAATAATAATAATAATTAATTCCCATACACATTCTTTCTCCCCACCCCCCAGTATCATCTAATTCTAACTCTAGGAGTAACACACAAGTTAGGGAAAATGGCTGCCTCTCCATATGTTTTCAAAGCAAGAACATTCGATGTTAGCAGCGTTGACATCCGCCCCCCCTTACAAAAAGGACAGATCTTGTAATGTAAACAAAGCATATGTTAGGGACTATCTCTCTGTTTGTTAGGATGTTTTCTATAGAACCTTTTGATGAGTCGGTTGGCTTTCACATCGCTAGATCTCACCCAAGTGGCTTCAGACAGCAAGTATCCCTTCCATTGTACCAGGTACTGCAATTTCCCCTTAAAAATTCTAAAGAATATGCTTTACTTCATAGTGAGTCTGACCCGCCACTACAAGGGGCCCGGGTGCCTTCTTAGGGGGAGGTCTCAAAGTGGAGCCCCAAAAAGGTTTCAACAAGCTGCAATGGAAGACAGGAAGTCTTTTTTGAAGCAGTTTTTGTGGTTCTCCAAATTTCTTCCCACCCCCTCACCCATTGATCAAGTGTCTGGGAAGCAGAGGGCACCTGAGGGTATTCAGGTATTGGGCTGAACTCTTTTCCTGTAGCTACTCTGAAAGGCGTGAAGCCAGTGCTGCTGTGGACAGAATTATTGTAAGCCACCTCTGCAAAAGGGAGGAGATTGGTCCAGTCGGTTTGTTGGTAAGAGACATAACATCTGAGATATTGCTCCACCATCTTGTTAGCAGCTTCCGCGACCCCATTAGTAGGTGAAAAGCGGATGATAGACCTTGAGATGAGCCAATTAATTTAAGAAAGCTCCTCCAAAACTTAGCTGTGAACTGCACCCCTCTGTCCGAAATTATTTGCTTAGGGGCGCCATGCACCCAGTAGCTATGTTTCAGGAACAATTTAGTCAGTCGTTGGGCAGATGGGAGTCCTTTGCAGGCGATAAAATGAGCCTGCTTCGAAAACAAGTTTATCACAGTCCAGATGACAGTATTTCCTCTACTCTCAGGTAGGTC